TTCAGGCTTTACACTAGAGAAACAATGCGGTGCTTGCACATTAAAAAGAGAAAATGTGCTTCACACAGTTGCCCATAAAAAGTGCTTTTTTCCAAGCAATTCGTATTATAAGCTTCACTGGTTGTATGCAATTTTTACTATCATGCAAATAAGCTTAGATAAATAAACTAATAGATCACCTTAGAAAATTATGCAATTAATGTAAAAATAATTAAAAAGCAAACAGTGCTTTTCATAACATTTAGCTCTTATCTTTACTAAAGGTAACTAAATATATTTATAATTCCAACTTGCTGTGTGCACTCTCTGAAAAATTAAATATCTAGCTAAGGCTATAAGTCTATTTCTATAAAGAGAAGACCACCTGCTACATTTTAGAAAGGTAGACTTCTTTCAAACTCAAATTTTCTGCTTGTGTTGGTCCTTTTCATTGGAATATTATTGGTTTATAGCATCAATCTCCCTGTGTAAGATTTCTATTACATACATGTTAGTTACTGCAGCTCTATAATACAAAATAATATTTGTCTTCTTTTTAAAATTTGAATTACATACAGAATGACCTTTTGACTTTGACATGTAAAATTTTACTTACTTGATATTAAAGGAAAAAAAATCTAGTTCATTTGTTAAAGCATAGTCTTGTCAAACAAGACTTCAACATCTCATACTGAGTGATGTTTAAGATCATTAGAATAGTTCCTGAAAAAAGTCACAAATTTGTAGACAAATATATAACTCATGTTTTACTAAGGAAAGGTGCATTTTAGAGGTTCAATTTGTCTTTTATTTATATTTTATTCAATCTTGAAGATTTTCTTCAATGCAACCTTCATCTCTTTGTTCCTCAAGCTATATATTAGAGGATTACATAGAGGTGTTATCACAGAATAAAACAAATAATTTTTTTTGCATCTTCACTGTGCGTCCTGACTCAGGACCAACATACATCACCATAATAGAGCCATAAAATAGGATAAAAACTGCTAAATGAGAAGCACAAGTCAAGAAAGCCTTATGCTTGCTCGCTGCTGAAGGCATTTGTACCGCAGCCAAAATTACCAGAGCATAAGAGCAAATGATAAAGATGAAAGTACCAATCATGAAGAAAGCATTGAAAGAAGAATAAATGAACTGGGTTGTGGTGTCCTCAGGACAGGACAGCATCATCAATGGGACAGGATCACATACAAAATGGTTGATAATATTTGGGCCACCGTAGGGTAGCTGTGAGATGAAAACAAACGGAGTTAGAAAGAGAATGAACCCACAGGACCACCCAAAGACAAGGAGGCTGGTGCAGAGCTGTCTGGTCATGATGTGTGGATAATGGAGAGGGCGGCAGATGGCAAGGTACCTGTCAAAGACCACAATGCAAAGGTAGAAGCCTTCATCATATCCAAAGGAGAAGAAGAAGTAGAATTGTGCAAAACACCTCACAAAGGAGATGGACTTCGTTGTGGAGAGGACGTTGGCTAACAAGTTAGGAACAGTTGTTGTGAGGTAGCATATTTCCAGAAGAGAGAAATTCCCCAAGAAGATGTACATGGGGGTGTGAAAGCAATGGTCTCTCTGCGCTGCACAGGCAATGGCTGTATTCCCCATGAGGGTCAGCGTGTAGGCTACTGAGAAGAGCCTAAAGTAGAGAAGCTGCCTTTCTGGGCTTGAGGGGAAGCCCAGGAGGATGAAGTGGGTAACGGAGTTCTCTTTCTTGGCCACATTTACTGATGTAGAAGACATGTAGATGACAGAGGTGTATGGCAAGTTAACATAGAATGTTGATTTTTCCTAGAATATCAAATTTATTATTAATTTTGTATGATAGTAAAATAATCAAACTATTTCTTAAGCAATAAAACTGAGATTTGCATAAGCCAGCCATGAACAAATGACATTGTTTAAATAAGTCACAAACATTAAAAGGAGGGAGAAATGAATTTGAGACAATTTTATCCTGATAGGAACTGTGACTTAGATACTAGAAATGCAAACTTTTACAATTGTTATGATTCACCATTTTAAAATAGTCTCTTCTTTCACCTGTTTGTCTGTTATTGGTATTGTACTACTTTTCTGAGTATGTGGAACTATTAAAACTGATTTGAAAAAAATTTATAATTTCTTTATGATTTACAGCAAATAATAATAAATTACTAAATCAAGATATTTTAAAGGACTCTGTCTCAATATACTGCTTGATGGGGCACAAATTAATACCTACTTTCACTTTCTGTTAATCCAAGTTAGTCCTAGTATTTTAAAGTGGTAGTGAAAAAAAGTTGTCACTTAAGAATATATGATGTTTTATTCTTTTATGTTATGTGTTGTATCTATATTAATGCTTAGTATAAAAATTCTTTTCTCTTTTAGGCAGCTTGATGTATTATATAGTATATAATATACAGTGTGCTATTAGGAACATTCCTATGCTTTGGTTTCTAAATTGCTCTTGATATATGTTTTTGATATACTTCTGGGTACATATGGGAGCTAGTCATGCTTGCCAATGGTCCTGTGGGAAAGCAGCTGACCTGAGATTTGGTGGCCAATTTCATTGTACTGGCACATTTTCGCTACAGTTATGTCAGCTGCAGGGAAAAATGAAAGGTTCGTATACTTTATAGTTGTGAGGGTTTTTACAGTTCCTTGTTACTGATTCCCTATATATATTTTTTTTCTTTTTGTTAGAGTGTTTTGGTGTCTTTTTATATCTGACTGTGATGCATCCTGTAGTCTTTCTTATATGGAAAAATCTGAAACATGCATCTCTCCCTGTCTTTGGCTACTTTCAGGCCATATAGTAGTAATAGAATCAAAATTTAATTCTGGATGAGCACAGTGGTGCCTGCCCATAGTCCCAGCACTCAGGAGCTTGAGGTAGGAGGGTTGCACAAATCCACAAGTTCAAGACCAGTCTGGGCAACATAGGGAGACCCTGTCTTAAACAAATAAGCAGACAAATAAACAAAAGAAACCCCTCCAATTTTGTTTCCTTAAGATGTTATTCTGATCCATTTTATTAGGCAATGTAAGTATTTAAAAATATGATGTTAATTGTTTCATTTTAATGTAATACAAATAGATATTAATGAAGGAAATATAAAAATACACCTCTTACTTCTATGGAAAACCAAATTCCATAGCAATAATTAGAGAGCAACAATGGTTAATATACAGTGCATCATGATTTTAAAAGAGGGGGTAAATTATTACTCAGAGTACAAATCATGACTAGAAAAGATTCTCTCTTACAAAGAAGAAACAAACAAAAAGACAAAAATGGTCTTGATTATATCACGTAGTGCTGTAGGTGCCAGAAAAACAGCTGTGGATATGTAGACCTTGCCTTCATAGAGTTTATAAACATGTAGCTAATAGTGAATTTTTAATTTTTTTTTTGGTTGAATTTCAACTTGTTTTCCAGTTTTGGAAATATCTTTGCCTTTTATAACAAATATTCAATAAATCAAAAAATATTTTTCCAGTTAAGAACTTATGAGACTGAGTCTGAGAAATCCTTGACATACTTGTTTACAGGAAGGCAGTATCAGAGTATTTTTGCCACTATACATGTAGAGGACTGACTTTCACTTGAAATTGGTTAACTCTCATTGCCCTTGATCCTGTATAAAAATGAATGTAGCAAATTAAGCCTGCTGAATCCTTGGGTCTATGGGTTGTTCCAAGTTAGTCTGTTAAATGTTTTTAAGGAAATAATTTCCTCAGTTACAAAAGTCTTTTGGTGAGTCCTGTCCCCTAATATTCCAATAGTTTACATTTTAGTGGATTACATTTTTGTGCTGGATATATTCTTGTTTATGCAGGATCCTCTTAACTGTTCCAGTTAATTTCATTTTTAGAAAAGCATCATCGGTTTCAAATCATCATTGGAACTTACCTTTCTTTTCTCAGATTATTTCCTGAGGATAATACTTGTCTAATAGCATAATTTAGAGCAAATCCTGTGCCTCTAATGTCAACAACACATATGGATGTAATATTTTTTATTTAATAAAAGTATATAATGCCACTACACACTACCAAATAATGCTTAATCTAATGTAATAAAAAAATGTATAAGTTTGGGAAGAAGATGTCTCTGGAGAGAAAAATCTGCCATATTCACTCTCCAGGTAACAAAAATCACAAAATTAAATAAAAATTTTATCTAGATATTTATCAGTTAATATACTTCCTTTCTTAAACCTTAAGCCTCTTTATATGTACATTAATTACTCATATTGTAAAAGGAAATTAGGAATAAGAGAAATATATTCTTCAGAACTCATGGAAACAAGAAATCTAAATCCTCATTTTTAATCTTAGTTTTTGCTAGTTTTATTCTAATGAAATATTTTGAATTTTGTCAGACAAGAAGAAAAATAAGTTGAGTTAATAACGTAAGTTTTGCAAAGTATGGATTGAAGGCAGCTCACACATTAAAATGTTTTCACTCACTCCTCAGATGCACATGAAATTGAAGATGGGAGAGAAAATGTTACTCCATGGAGCTGTATACAAATGAAGGGTTTCTAAGAAATCAGATGATCGAGTTTATAATCATTCATGGGTTGCAAAGAGTCAGCCTTAATAGAATATATTTTTTCAACTTCGAAGTACATGTTAGTGGACAAGTGAGAGTCAAGATAAAGGATAAATCTATCTATCTATCATCTATCTATCTATCTAATCTATATATATATGCTTTCATCATAGCCTTCTGAGATTTGGGGTTCTCAGTGATTTGATTGCATTTCTTCAAGAAAGGAGATCATTTCTGAATTTCATCTACAATCGAATACCAAATCTTACTATTCTCCAAAGAACAGCAAGTTGTAAAAGTAAGTACTATCTTTTCTTTCTTTCCTAGTATCCATGTGTTGTAAAGGCTTCCTGGGTAACAGCTAAGTAGTAGAAGACATTTCTGTAACAGTTAAAACAGGAAGTTCTATTAGGTTCTCTATATCTACTTTGAAGAAGAAAGAGGAGGAGGAGGAGAAGAAGAAATAATCATTCTCTGTAATCAAATATCTGTACTTACAAAGTTTATTAGATATATTTGAGTTGCAGTTTACATAGAACATAAAGAATTGGCAGTTGCAGAAGTTTAATTGCCATTCAGTTATTCCACAAATATTTTTAAATGCTTTACCAAGTGCCAAATGTCAGTTCAGTTCCTTGTGGTATTGTAGAAGACAACCCCAAATTTCTGTTTTCATATTATTTATATTCTATTGTACAGAAAAAATAACCTAAAGGAGATTATTGCATAATATATTGAGATTAATATGGAGGAAAACAAAGCATGAAGTATGGAGGGGATGTTAGAACAGGACATTATGACTTTAGATAGAAGGATAAGAAAGCTGCACAGAGAAGGTGACATTTAAGCTATACCTGGAACTGAGAAAACAAACCATGGTTATCCAGAGGAGTTACTATTTCAATCATAGTAAACAGATACAAAGAACAATAAAACATGTTGGAGAAATAACAAGCAGGCCAGTGTGGCTATTTCAGGGTAAGCAATGGGCAAAGTAGTAAGACTTGATGACAGAGGGATTGTAGGGAGAGTCATTAAATTAAGACATTTGTACAGATTTTATGGTAAGGTATTTTTAATGCCTTTTTAGTTATAAGAACCAGTCAGGGGCAGTACTTGAGCAGAATGTAAATCAATCTAGCTAGCTTTTCTTTTTAAACTCTGAAGCATTTACCTAAAAGCACACATTTTAACTATATCATTCACTGAATTATTAAAATAGCACACATGCACATAACCACACTCTTGGATAAGTAATAGAAAATTATCTAGCATCTAAAAAGCCTTACTGTAACCATTCCGAATATTACATCTCTCTCTTCTGAAAGTAATCACCTTTGTCAATTTGCCCATTTTTGAAATAGACAAACTCGTAGTGTATGTATTTCATCTTGAATCTTTCCCTCATACTTACATATGCATTCTTTCATATCAATATATTTCATTGCCTGTCATTCCTATGCAATATTCCTTTGTATGTACATGCCACAAGCTTTCATCCTTAGACATGTGGGTTATATCCAGTTTTTGGCTGCTATGAATAATGGTTCTGTGGGTAATATTATTCATATCTTTTGGTATATGCTTGTAAAATTTATGTTTGTGTATATGAAATTACCAGTACTTAGAGAATGCATGCATTCCACTTTAACAGATAGCATCAGAGAGTATTTTATAAATGGTTACCCAAATGTACATGCTCATTTGTACTACATGATGACTAGAATTTCTCTCTGTTTCTTCCCAGCTTGTGTTATGTCAGTTTTTGAAAATGAAAACAACTGGGAAAGATGTGGTAGTGTTGTGCAGATTGCATTCCTTGTATGACCAATATGATTGAATACATTTTCTCATATTTTTTGGCCATTTAGATAAACTTTTCCCAGAAATGATTTTTCTTTTTTTTGTATTTAAAGATAAAAGAATGAAAACATCTTAACAAACATACATTTAGAAAATAACACAAAAACAATACAAGCAATACAAAATCTCAAACAAGGTGATAGGAAATTAACAATGGTTATTGTATTACATATTGATATCTTCAATTTGGGTACTCAGATAAACAAATATGGACATGTAAGATTGATCATATACTTAGACATTAACTATTCCTTTCAATAGAACAATAAAAGTCAGTTGTACAACTATGTTAGCTACCCTGTGTATATACATATACACATATTTTTCCCTTTCCAGAAATAATTTTTCAAGGATCTTGCCCACTGGGGATGTATTATTATTATTATTATTCATTATTTATTTATTTATTTATTTATTTATTGGTTAAAAATTGTGTCTAGGGCCTCTATCTCCTCTGCTTTGGAGATGTGATTGTCTCTGCCTACAGCCTGGTTGCCTGGTGGACTGCAGGTGCTGACAGATCTGTAGAGCAGATCCTAGGACACTTTAGAAGCTAGGAAATGGACTCTGTGAGGTAGAAACTTCAGGATGGCTAAATAGAGGGACCAAGCACTCATCTCCACAAAGAAGAATCAAAGAATCAGATGTGAAGTTGAATTTTGAGGTGAGGGTCACCTCAAACAGAACCCTGGAAATGAGCAAGAGACTGGAATTTTGTTAGGTTCAGAGAACTGAGATAATATTATAATAAGAGAAACAAAATGTCCCAGCTTTTGTCATCCCTGTTCCCCAAACAGGGAAGGGAGAGTTTCCTTGTTGCAGGGCTATGACTGAAAGAGAGGCCCAGAAAAATTCACTGAAAAATTTCCCATTCCTCAGAGCCTTCCAGCCTACTTAGATGAGTAAGCTGAAGTCTTCATAGCAGTCAGATTAGTCACATTTTGGAGAAGGAGTTCACATAATCTCCCAGCAATATCCAGGTATACTATAGGCGAGAACCATCTTGACAAGGGACTGATTGTCTAAAATTAGAGTATTTTATATTTCTAGTCTTCTTTTTTTTTCTTCATATGGTATGTATGTATGTGTGTGTGTATATATATATATACATACACATGCAATTATTTTCAATTTTGGAATTATAGTGCATATTAGTCATCAGTACTTTTGCTTGATATCATATGTTGTTTTTTCCCATGCCTAACATTAAATTCTTGAAGCATGATTCTTAGTAGATTCATAGCACTAAATGTTGAAGAATGAATATTTTGGGTGTATGATACTCTATTTTTATCAATGACAAAATTATCATTTTATCAGAGTTATAAAATATTCTGCTTGGGGACACATAGTTTTGTGCAAAATTTCTGGAAATATGAAATATTCTTGGAAATGGATGACACATGTGCTTTATAAAGATACATATTTCTTTTTTGCCCAATTTAACTTTGTAGCAAGTTGTAATTGGTTAGAGGTAAATGGAAGGCAGTAGAAAACAGAGTACTATGTCTGTCAGACAGACAGACACCAGATCCAAATTTTATTACATACAAACTATGTAGGATTGTAAATCACCTAATCTTTATGTATTTAGAGTCCTCAATGTCAGTAGAAGAAAAACAATTGCTCTCACTCATTTAATGCCTTTTTGTAAGAACTTCAAGAGCTAGAAAAACTAAATATTTAGACCCATGAGGAACAGCAAACATGATTTCAAACTCATTTCAGAGCATTGACAAACAGTTTGCTGATTCTTTTTCCGTTATTCTGGAACTGTAAAACTTTTTACCAAACAAGTGAACATACTGCTTCTAACAAAGGCAGAAGGAATCCATTTTGAAAAATGTCCATGGCACTCTGATAATTTTTTATGCATTCTTTTAAAAGAAATTATTTCGCTTATATGTATGGTCCCTAGTTGCATCCATTTACGTATAAAAGCCTCAAGTTTGTCCTTTACAGCTGAGTAGTACTCCATTATATAAAAATAAGAAACTGAAAAATAAATAGAACCCCAAATATGCAATAGATACTGTGAAAGGGAATGAAACCGCTCAAAAAGGAAGAACAACTGGGATGGGTGAAAGGAGAAAAGAAATAAGAGAAAAGAAAATAGATATATACTTAAGATAGATAGACTTCTTTTAGTTCATCGAAAAAATGGTTTGTGCTTATATTGTCTGAGCATTTATGCATGCCTATATCTTGTAATCTGAGCAACTAATTTGAGGATAATACACAATATATTAAGCATTGTTAATCTCCTATTATCTTGTTTTAAATTCTGTATTGTTGTTTTTTCTATTTAAAATGAAATTAGAACCATTATTTCAGTTTACTGGCACTTGTGTGTACTACTTACTCACATTTCCTGTAGGAGGTTGGGACACGTAAAGAACACACCCACATTTCTTTCTCATCCCTTCTCCTTCCCTCCCTCCTTCCTCCACCCATCTCTTGACCCCTTCCTTTCTGAGGAGGGGCACGTGTTCGTAGTACATAATGTTCACATTCCGTGGAAGGAATTGGTACATATGTTCTTTCTTGGAGGTCTTGTGAAAGTACTGGCTACAGTATCAGAATTTTTTTGAATGAATGTTTTATTTCCAGTGCTTTCAAATTTGTTTTCCACAGGGATTAGGTATCCTCAGCTATGCCATTTTTAGTGCCAGAAGAAAGCTTAGAGTAAAAATCGCTGAGAAAATCCCTTGGTGAGCCTGCCCAGTGATGTGATATCATACAAACCACTGTTGGAGATATTCCTGCATGCCTCAGGCACTTATCGCCCCTAATCTTCTCTTTCTTGTCCCACTTTCCTTAGTCGTCTCCTAAGTTGCTCACAGAAAGAATCCCAATCCTCCCTCCCTTGATGCAAATCAAAATAGTCCTCCTTCTGGAGCCACCGGGTGAGACGGTGGTAGCTGCATAGTTCTTGGCTATTGATAGGCTCCAGAAACAGCAGCAGGGGGCGGGCCATCCGAGGCCTGACCACCAAGTGGTAGGTAGCAAGCCTTAACTCCAGATTGCACCAGGTACTTTTCAGGGCTTGGCAGCTGAGCACACAGAGAATGGCTCTGCTAATCTTCATGTTGGCAACAGTGGCATCCATCCTGTCCTGCCCAAGTCCAAAGTCCCTGTATGGCAGGCATAGTTTCAAACCCTCACCCATTGGAGGAGGCTTCTCCAGGGCAGGAACCAGTTCTTCCAGCACCCAGGCTTGGTCCTGCTCACAATAGGATACAAAGACATCATAGTAGAGTTGTCTTCTGGGACCACGACCACATAACTCCCACCACCAGGCATGAAAAAGATTTTGGAGGTTGTGAAGCCAGTACCACTTGCGACAGCCAAGTAGTGCAAGGATGGACATCAGGGATACAAGACTGAAGCTGGCGAGAAAGCCCTGAAACCCGGGATCATGTGTGCAGTGATCAGAAAAGAAGGAGAGGAGTGGAGTCTTGGAGTAGTCAGAAGCATCTGCTATGCAGATGGATTTGTCCAGCCCATACACAAAGGTGTTGGGAGCCCGTGTTGCCCAAGGACCTACCCAAGAGCTTTCACACTGGCAGGTGAAGGTGATATCTGAGAAAAAAACATATGGCGGCATCTGGGGGATTAGCTCCTGAAGGTTACTGTCCAGCCCTAGGGAGTATTCAGAGTTGACCAGCAACAGCTGGAGGTGGCCCAAGTCCCTGAAAGTGGACATGGAAAGGGTCCCAGGATTCAGATGGCTTAAAACCAGCACCTGTAATTGAGGCACTTGCTTCAGAAGTATCTCCAGATTCACTAAACTGAACTCAGAGAGGAAGTTTAGGTCTCCCAGCTCCAGCACTTGCAGCCTGGGCATGCCTAACAGACACATGGTGTCTGCGTCCATGTGATCAGACCAGAAGTGTAAGTGTTCTAGGAGAGGAAGCTCTGGGAAAAATTTCAGGGGCTGATGGCTGGAAAAAATGTAGGAACTGATGCCTCTCAAAGTAAGGTGATGCAGGGAAGGGAAATAAACTGTGGTGTTGTATGAAAACAACTGTGCATTGGCAGATTGTAAGGTAAGATTCTCCAAGAGCAAGAATGGTTCCTCATTGTGGACTATGAACCGGATGAACCCTTCAGCCCTCACCTCCAAGCTGAGCAGTGCTGGAGGCCAGGGTGAGTAGATGTCCAGCATATCAAGAGAACCCAGCTGCAGACAGTGCAGCTTGTGGGGACCCTGGAGCTGCTTGCCCAGGATATGCTCTAAATAGGTACCCAGGAGGTTCAGTGAAATGAGGGCAGGAAGAGAGGAGAGCCAGCCTGGATTTAGAACCTTAATTTGGTTCCAACTCAGGTCTAGGGTCTTCAGCCACCTGAGTCCCTCCAGACTCCCATTGATTAAGCTGGAGATGTTGTTGCCACGCAGCCAGAGCTCCTGAAGCTGGGGAAGAAAGGAGAAGGCCCCATATGGCAGATTACACAACTCATTGTAGGACAGATCGAGCACTCTCAGCTTTGCACTAACCAGCCCTTTGGGAGCACCAAGGTTGGGCCTAGGTTATTCATGGACAGGTTGAGCCTCTGAAGCTGGGGCAGAACACTCAGAAACCTGATAGGAAGAGATCGCAGGCCATTATCATGAAGGCTGAGGATTTCCAGCGAGTGGCAACTTGCAAGATCTGGATCCTCTATGTTTTGGATTTGATTCCTCCCAAGGTCAAGTGCATGAAGGGCAAAGTACCCTGTCACATTCCCAGGGAGCTTTTTTATACCTTTATCCACAAGAGAGAGGAAGTCCAGGTGGAGAAGTCCTGAGTCTAGGAGGCCTAAAGAACTTAATGGGGTGCTATCCAATATCAGGGAATGCAGCTGGAGGCCATGAAGGGCTCTGACACCTGCCTGGCTCAGTTGCAGGTTGGATGATAAATCCAGTACCTCCAAAAAATATACCGATGGTCTGGGGCTGGCTGTAAGAGTGGAACCAGGCACAAGATTTGAGAACAGCCCCTGCAGTTCCTGCAGCTTTGTCAAACAGCTGTGCCTCAGAGTCAGACAAGTAAGGCTGATTGGCAGCTGGATGTTCTGACTAGAATTCAGACAGTAACCTTGAAAGGAAAGGCTGTGGAGTGATCTGAGGGGCTCCAGAACATCTGGAGGGAGGAATAGACTCAGGCAACAGGGAGCGTGGTGCTCAAAGTAAAGGTGTTGCAGCTGGTCCAGTCCTTGGAAGGCCTTAGAAGTAACTTTCAAATTGCCCAACTGTAGCCTCAAAAGCTGCAGGGAGGAGAAGTCAGCAAAGGCATTGGCTGGCAGGACAGAACCCATTCCTTGGAGACAAAGTGCTTCTCTATCCTGGGGCACTGCTCTCAGGGTCTGAGCCACATCTTTAATGTTAGAGCATGATGCAAAAAGGTACAGTCCTGGGGCCAAGGAACAGAATGGGATGTAATAGGAGAGGTTAGTCAGTAGGGAGCTGTCTGCTATGGTGCAGTCAGGAGTAGTCCATGCCCGGCTCACCAAGACCTGGCTCACAAAGGCCAACAGTGAGAGCGGCAGGAAAGCAGAGGAGAAGAGAGGGTTTTCCATCCTTGGGACTGCTTCTAGGAAAAAAGAGAAAAAAATAAGGGTGTCAAATCCTGCAGACTTAGTGGACAGTCCCACTCCAGGACTTCTAATATACATAACATCAGTGGGATGTCTGGAGCGCATTGGAGAAACAGCTCTGTATGGTAGTAATGAGACAATTGACTGCATAGGAGACTAGTTGTTTGTACTCACAGTTGGTTCCACGTGGGTAGAGAGGTGGAGGAGGCAGAAACTGGGCAGCAAGAAGGCCCAGATGCTTGCAGGGGGCTTGTGGTAGATTCCAGGAGAGAAACTATGATGTTTCCCAGTCTTCATGCTGGGGATAATTAGCTCAGATTCTTAAGTTCTTTGGAGGAGATCCATATGAATGGGTTCATTTTAAAATTAGCAAATTTACTTGTCCATTACATAATGAATTAAAAAAAATGTGATGTGATGATATTACAAATAGAAAGACACAAACATATCATCTTATGTCACCCTTAATTATATGATGTTCAGATTTGGTGTTATTATCTTTATTTTACTCATGAGCTGTAAAATGTCAAAGATGCTAAATTACTTGCCAAGATCAAAGAAATAAAAGTGGCAGCATTAGGAGAGTAGTCCAAGTTTTCTACCTCTATGCTGTGTTTTTACTAAAGAAGTCCTCAGGCAGGACAAAGGACACATTTCAAGTGAATTCTATTGTTGAGTTTATGGAAAATAGGTAGTCCTTCAAGCTAGTTTGGGTAAAATTTCAAGAATGTACATAACCAGGGTAATGGAGTTGTAAAACTGTTAATGGAACCATAAGGTCCTGCTGTTTGTTTTCAGCGCTCACTGCTGGAAGAGGCTGCACTGCCCTTTTTCTCACTGTTGCTTATTTTTGTACTAGCGGCTTTTGTGAAATGGGGTTACCAAGTGTCCCCCGTCTAGGTCCTTAAAAGCTGTAAAGGGGCAGAAGGGCAGAGTGGTGCTCTGGGTACCACATACATGTTAGTCACAAGTGAAGCATATTATCCTCTTGTGAGGTTTTGGGCTTCTTCAGCAACTCCCATCCTTGGGAAAAGAAGGATTTAATACTGAAAAACACATACATTGTTCTTTTTCTTTTGAAGGATGCCACATTTGAGTGCTAACATAAAGGTAGCTCTGCAGCACCAAAGCTGTCTTTCCTTGAGTAATATCCCTTTAGCTAATAGGAACATCGCAGTTGCATGTACTTCTGACTTCAGTGAAAAGTTCTAGGAAGCCTGTGAAGGGGCTAAGAATTCATCCACATGATTCAGTCTCAAAGTGGATGGAATCTGCTGTACTAGACTATTTTCATGGGTCTTCTCTGGCAGTTTTGAGAAGCTGTTTCTTAAGCCTTGATATTTCATATAGTGTGCCTTGTTATTCTTAGCCTTCCCTCTCCATTCTCCTATTTAGGGAGATTTCTGGAGCTGAGATAGATGTCAGACCTAGTGCACAGAATGAACAGAGATTCTAGTAACATAAATTCTGAGCTACAGAGTAATCCTTTGTCCTGGTCTGATGCATTACCAGAAGGTACACTTTAATCATGCACAATGTAGTAGCTCATTTGACTAGTTAAATCTGTGGCTAACCTTAACGCAAATGTCCCTTTAAGCTCTGCCTAGCCCCTGCCTATCTTCTTGCCTCTGGCTCCCTCTGAAGAGAGGCAAGGTCTCTATATAGGGACAAATCTTTTTCTTTCTTCCCTGTCAGTTCCACTAATTGCTCCTCCATCTTGTCCAAAAAACTACCTTAGCACAAGAGAAGTAGTGTTTTTACCTTTGTGCAGAAGTACAGTAGGTCAGTGGAGACAGAGTTGAAGTTTCAAGAAAAGACTTCTTATCTTCTCCTGCAGCAAAGAAGTCAAGACCTTTTTTCTTGTGATTCCTCCACCATGGCCTCAGCTCTGCTTTATGAGTGTGATGCTCCTTTTATTAACTAAGGTGGGAAGGTCCAGGGAAAAGAGAATGCTTTGTTAACCTCTTAATGTGTCCCCAAACTGAACCATTTTCTCTTCCTTTTTTCTTCCATTGTTTTTTTCTATTTTATGATTTCCCTTTTCCTCACCTAGTGGCAATTTCAGTTCTAATTTACTTTGTGTCACATCCTCCTGAAGTTTGAAAGAATAGATCTCTTTTCATTTTGCAAAACAGTTTTCTTCTCTGAAATAAGAGTGGCCCATCTCCAACATTTCTACTCTCCCCTCTTTCCATGCTCTTATTGTCAAGCTCCAGAAGTCTTATTGTCAAGCTCTTTCAAAGCAGAAAGACTAAATGCAGCGGAACCTAAAATCTCACTGGAAGACACTCCTCCTTCCCCCTGGGTTTGGAAGTACAGAGCAAAGGGGGAAGAGGAAAGGCTGATTTCTTTCTAAATGGTAGAATCTTCTTCTGTAGAGCACATGGGTCATGGGAAACTCCTGGGATGGAAGCCATAAAATCAGAACTGGGTTGTGATAAATTATCATTCCAATGAAAGAAAGATCCATGTTTAGATTACTACAAAGACTAAAACCTTTTTGAATATTTTTTTGCAATACCAATGACATAAGTATGATTTTGGAGATACTTAAATAGTTCTTTAATCTCTGGTTTTCAGCATCTTAGGCCCTGTATTATCTCAATTTTTATTACATTTTTATGTTCAAAATTTTTCTTTGCACTAAATTGTTTCTGTTGCTGTATATTTGTACATAAAGCCTTGTTTGAGAAAAAGATCCACTTCCTAATCGGAGACTTTTGCGAAAAGGGGCCACTTCTAAACTTACACTACTGTATTTCTCTTCTGCTTTATGCTTAATACAACTTCAATTTTATTCTGGTGACGATGTGTTCAGCTCAAAAAAATTGAATGTTGCAGCCTTCCTCACTAATGGTAGTCATCTTTGAAATATACGTTCAAGCAATAGCATAAGTGTTTTGCCTGTTTTGCTGCCTGTAGTTTCTGTTGCTAGCTTCAGATGGTAAGATGTCTTTGAGAAAGGAAACATATACTAAAAACTCTGAGTCCTTTGACAGATATTGAGTTTTCTTTTTGCTTCTAAAGCTGAAGGGGATAAAATTTGGAGTAACTGAATTATTTGCTAAAAAGTAATTATTATTTATTTCAATCTTTACATCCTGGGTAGTTTGCTTTTTTGGGGCTATTTGAATTACCAATTAAAAATGGCTTTGTTTTTGTTAAGATGTTTGAAACTGTATGTTTTGATAGATAAATGGAGTATGTTATTTAAAAGAGGTGAACATTTGAGATATGTTTTTGTAAAACCACAGATAAATTAAAAGGATAGTAATTCAAACTCTTTTAATAAAAGTTGATTTTTATTGTAATGCCAAAAATAGAGCTGTATTCCACTGAAGGACTCTATTTAGAACAAACAGAGTTTATTAAATTAAATTTAGACAGGTCACCGCTCATCCCTGACTTGCAGGTCAGGAACGTGGGCAGCCAGTCTTCTTTCTTTCCACATTAAATATGCCTTTGGTTTCCATGGTAACAGATTGAATGCTGTAGTCCTGGCCACACGTTGTTTTCCTTGCACCACGTGACCAGGTCCGGCTCCTGTCATGAGCCCAACCACAATGATATACTTTCTGTACTCTGTTCTATATGTTCCCTTTTAGATAACCATACATTTCCTTTATGGTTACAATGTTTATTTAGGGCCAGGGAAGGGATGAAACAACCCAGGCAGGGTCATAGGTGGTTGTCTGGGCCCAGGTGTTCTTTGTCTTTGGAGAAGTATTCCTGGAAAGTTAGGACTGCAAAGTTAACTTTTTAAAACCCCTCTGGGATGTTTCTCAACACACATTTTGAGGCCTGTACTAAGGCTAAAACTATTCTATCTTAAAAATGATATATTAAGAGTCACCATCCGCCACATTATAATAGTGAAAAGTGGGAAGCTTAAGGAAGAGACAGAGGAGATAGAGATGTGTAGATAGGAGGTCCATGGGGAAACAGGGGAACATTCCTCTTTGGGAAGATTCATATGCAAGGTATATCCCTCCACTTCCTCTGTCTCTCTCTGTGTCTGTCTCTGTGTCTGAGTCTGTCTCTGTCTCTGTCTGTCTCCCAATATCTAGGATAAAAACTGCAAGCCAGAGTTTGACAAGACCCCTCACTCCTATACACAAACAGCTGATTGTGAGTAAAATACAAGCACAAGGGTACCTAAGTCCTCTTCTTCACAGAGTACCCACTGAGCATTCTGAAGGCAGCACTGTCAGCTTCACCATAGACTGCATCATGATCCTTCACACACAGAGTAGGGGAAACTTAGGGAAGTGGTGTCTAAAAGCATTGCTCTAAATTATATATTCACTTACAGATATTAACTTTTTAAAATTTAAAACCCACTGTAGATTATATGAGATGTATATGTTTATCATAGAAAAATCACATAGATATTAATTCTAAAAATGAGACCAAGAATCTAGCCTTACCATGACTTTGTATTTATGTAAGATTATATAGTAATTTTGTTACAGTCTGCCTTTTTTTTACTCAGTAATATATTTTACATATTACCCTTTTACATAAATCTTCACATAATTTGTATAGTCATTATCTTAGAACAACTCATTTCTGCTGTACTCTTCCTTCCTGGGATAAAGCCAGCCCTTTATCTGTATGGTCTGTATGGTCTTGGAGTTCTGGACACAGCCCTGGATCCAGGAGGGGTGCACACTCAGGCAGAATTCTTACTGAATTTAAGCCAGCCTAACTGGTTCCCTCACTTACTGTACATGAGTGTGGACATGCATTCGCTTTTCACGTGGCATTATGAAATAAATATGAAAATATGTATCCTACTATGTAACAGAAATTGTAAAGATAAGCTGAGAAAGTACTTTATAAGTAAAAGAATCTGGACCTGGTGACTCCACCCATAGTTCAGGCTGTCTGGGAGACTGAAGCAGGAGGATCACAGCTGCCACGGCCCTGAGTTCAATCCCCAGCACTGGATGAGAAAAAGACATTGATAATATTGATCAAAATCAATTCCATACCTACTACATACAGGGTGGATTTCTACTGTGTTTATTCAACACAGCTACTGTCAGTCATAAGTATTGCTATTAGCTCTATTTTAGAAATAAGAAATCTAGGCAGAAAGGTCAAATAATGTAGGTTTGAAACCAATCTCTCTGATTCCAGAGTATTGGTTCTTTTCCTATTTAGTAGTGAAGACTGAGGTATCCACAGTTAGCCTGCCTTGGATCAGACACTGTGTTCTCCTAAGGAAGTTAGTCTTTTTGTTGATTTCATCTTCAGTAATTTTTTGAATGTATATTTTTATTTTTATTTTAAAATTAGCATATATTCGAGATACATAATGACTACATTAATCTTGGGAAATTGGTACCTATGTATATCACCTCTGAATCATCTCTACTCCAATTTTGCCTCCCATCCCCAGATCCCCTTTCCATTTCCACAAAGGTTACCTGTGTCAGTAATTTGGAGAAAAAATACTTTGCACCTAACTTCTTTGAGCTGTCAAAGTAGTAAATGAAAGGGTATATAAAAATGTTTTAGAACAATTATCCCAAATGTTTATTTATTTTTTTTATTTTAAAGAGAGTAGTAAATGAGAAACAAACAAAAAAAGAACAATAGCAGCAAATGTTTATTTTTTAATGTTGCAAAAAGTGTGGTAATTTTGCATATTCATCTTATTAAATTAATGCATTCATGTTCTCTCTTTGTTTGTAATATTGGTTCATGCACCCCTAGTTCTAACTTTTCATGGAATTTGGAATTTACATAATGTTTGGTTGTACAAAAAGTAATTAGTTGTAATTGAAGGTGCATTGGTTGTGTGGCCAGCATAAGTATTTTAACACAATAGCTCATATTTAGTAGTAGGAAATACTGACTGTTCCCATTTCCCTTGAAGAAAACACTAACCAGCACAGTTATTTTTAAAAAATATCACCATACTTTTTTCTTTTGAAAATCTAAATATTCGGAAAAAAAGAAACCTTTATTTTTGTGCCTACTATTCATTTTCCCTCCTCCCTTCACACTTGAAATGCATTTTATCTTGCAAAAATATTGTGCATAAATAGCAGTGTAAATAATTTAGTACTATGAAAAAAGTTGTGAGCCAATACAGTATTCAGAGTTCTAAGAATAACCATTGAAAAGGTAGTGGCTGCATAAATATATTAACTTAGTAACTCAAGTGAAAGACTCTGAAATTATGATGGAAATACTTTCTGTCCTGACCACTTCTTCTTAAACTCTTTTCTGATCAGTCTCAAGAAATTTAAGTCATATTTCCAGGGAAGGGGTATAGAGATAAGAAATATTCCCAGTAGACCACATAAGGAGATGTATATGGGAGAGTTCTGATAAATAAGATTGTTTAAGGAGCTTCTTTCATCAAAGGGATAAATAGTTTTTCCTACTTAGAATGTACATGCCAAGATTTACTTACACATTCTTACATTTTAAACTGAATAATCATCTCTTTTCCTCCAAAATTTGGTAAGATAAAGTTCTAAAATAAAAAGTGTGTACACATAATATTTGGGAAATGTTCTTATGGCAAATCTGTATAAAGATTTTATTGAGATACTGTTTTATAACAAAAGGATGGAAGTAACCATAGTGTTTCACAAAAGTTTCATAATAGATGGAAATAAAACGTTGGAATTTTCAATAACTGTACCCTGGTTGCCCCAGTTATAGTTCTGTAAGAGACACACTCTTCAGTGGTATTCCTTGCTCTCCTCACCTTTCTGAAAATTCCCTTTCATATATCCTTTACAAGCCAGTTTCTAGCTCCTCAAAAGAAAGGCTCTCTTTCTAGGAAAATGTTTATATCAACACACAGAAATTCAGAATCCGTATCATACTTGTTCAATAAGATATTATAGCTATTAAAACAAAAACCACTCTACCTTTTGTGACAGAGAATGGATATACTTTGATCTAAAAGTGTGGATTTGCAATGAAAAAACCTTTCCCATTATGGAGCTCCAGCAACTATGATCCAGGGTGATAATTAAAATATTTTTAATATCACATTATGATTGCAGATTTTAGCAACACTGGGCAGGTTTGTTATTCAGATAAAAGCTTATCACCTAAAAAATTTGTAAATGATGAGGAAGCAAACTAGTGCATATTTAAATATATACAAGATAATCAAGAAGATTATATTTTCTTAATTTTCATACCCATAAGAACATGGATATAAAATATCAGATAAGATTAAAGGTACCACAACCAATAATTAAAAGGCTTATTATAACATTGGAATAGGTTAAATATTACAAATAAAACAGACATGTGGCAATTGAAGTCCTAATGCTTTTTTTCCTTTAAAAATATTCTGTAATTTTTTTCACAGTTACAATAACAACAAACAATGAATTGTTATTTGTTTTTTAAACTGTAGCAACTTATCCTGAAGTACAAATTTCAGTCTCCAATATTTAGGAGGAGATATTCTATTATTGAAACTCAGTTAACTGACCCATTAAGTTTGGTGACATTTCATTTAGATAAAAATATTATGTGCTTATGGCACTGAATTTCTGAATATATTGGCTAATTTTGCTGATCATGAAATTAGAAGTTAGTGGCTTAGATAGTAACGAGAATGGCACACATGTAGATGTTAGAATATTTCATGATCCGTAGAAATCTTAATAAATTGTTTCAAAGAGTTTATGAATTAACAGTGACCACATCAGCAAATAACAAAGCCACATGTGCTAAGAGACACAATCAGAAAACACATATTTTGCCCCTTTTATTTATAATCAACACCTAAACAAACCAAATGGCATTTTGTGATTTTGTTTATCCAAGAACTATAGATTTGTTATCAAATAGAAAACAGGCATTTTTGTCACAGATGAATTATTAAAAAACTGTCTAGAAAACACTGAAATAAGTACATTTTTAGGTATTACACTCAGTTCCAAAGAACAACCACATGCCTCCATTTACCTATACGATTTGCCACTTTATTTTTATAAGGGACACTGTAGATGCTTTTTATGAGCTAATAGAGTCAGTATCATTAGAATCATACTTGTAGATTTAGATAACTGCATAATTTTGATTGTATTTTGCTAGACTACACTTAGAAATCAGTGAATATGCCTTAGGCAATGTGGAAACTCCTTAACTTTTGATCAGGGCTGCCTTTATCCTTATTCCTAAGGTTGTAGGTGAGAGGGTTGGAGAGAGGGGTCACCATAGCATAAAACAAAGTTGCAACTTTCTGAATCTCAACAGAGTGTCTGGGGCCTGGGCTCACATACATGACCATTATAAACCTGACCATAAAGCAGTGATACCACAGCCAAACGCAATCCACAGGTGCACAAGGCTTTATGTTCCCCAGTGGCTGAAGGCATACACAACACAGCTATTAGAACAAGAGTATAGGAACCAAAAGAAGTTACCAAAGAGCTTACAGTGTAGCAAAGCTACTGAATCCTTGGGGCAGAGGTGCACACTAATGCAAAGATAAACCCTAGATCACACACAATATGGTCAGTAACGCATAGATCACAGAAGGGCATTGGAGAGATATGAACAACAGGGATTACAAACAACAGAAACCTACAAATCCAGTTTGATCAATCTCACACTCGTATGTCTAATGGACTGAGCAACTTCTCCTGCTTTTTGGCCCTTACAGTTGGAATAAATCCAGGACCTTTGTAGTGAGGCCCTTAAAAATTATTACCAGCTCTTTAAAAGGTTATTTTTTTGAAATTGGGTCTTGTTGAATCACTAAATTGCCCAGGCTGATCTCGACTAGCAGTCCTCCTGTGTAGCCTCTCAGCATGCTGTAATTATAGGTGTTTCCCACTGCTCCAGGCTTCCCCAAGCTTGGCCTTACATACACGAAGAGCCCTAGCAATGCTACTTCCCAGATATGTGGACTTTTACCGTATATTTCCTTCCCCAGGAGAATGAGCAGCCATGATTTTTCTCTGCTCACTCTGTGCTGACCCGTGAGGTAGCGGGGGGCGGGGGGGTTCTATGCTGCCTACTGGTCAAAACTGCTGTTGCTATTTTCTCCTGTGTGACTAGGCTGCACAAGCCCCATCAGACCTCCCAGACTGGAAAGGTTGATATTATTTCTTTGGCCAGCCCTGATGAAGTTGGAGTATTTCATTCATGGATCACCTCTTTACCTTCTCAGGAGCAGCTGAGAACTGGCAGTTTTTGTCCATTTACTCTGTGGTGAACAAAGAAGGGATCTTGAACCACCTTCTCCATTGCCCCTTGACAGCTAGGATCTGCCAGACCTACCAGTGTTCCAGGACTAGTACTACCTATGATAGATGTCTGAGCATGCTGGAAAAGTTGAGGTACTGATCCACTTTTTCCCCAGAGCGAAGTTGAGAGCTGGGATTTAAATTTTATTTGCCTTGCATAGAAGAAGGAAAGGTCTATGGCATTGAGTAGTCATTAGCTCCAGCTGTTCTCCACTCTCCATTAGGGCTATAGTTTGAATGTTTGCATTTGCCCAATCCCGCACAATTCATATGTTGACACCCTATTTCCCAAGGTTACAGTGCTAGGAGGTGTGACCTTTTGGGAGTAACTAGGTCCTGAGAGCAGAGTTCTCATTCCTAAAATTACTGTTCTTATAAAAGAAGACTCAGAGAGACCCTCTCCCCTCCCCTTGTGAGGACATGGAGAATATACAACATATGTTCAAGTGTGTAGGTCCTTACTAGACTCTGAGTGTGGTTATGCCTTACTTTTGGGTTTACCAGCCTCCAAAACTAAATAAATGTTAGCTCTTTCTAAACTAATGAATTTATGGTACTTTGTTATAACAGCTAGAACAAATTATAATACTCATGGTTGGACTGTGGTAGATCCATCAGAGATCCAAGAATGATGAGACAGACATTAGTTCTTTGACATTAGACTAGTAATTTCTTTTTCTTTGGGAAATTGCTGAGAATGTTTGGTGGAATATAGATGAATATGAAGAAAAGACAGTTCAGACTCTACCCTTAACTAGCTGAAAACTCACATTTAGATTTCTACCCAGTGCTGGGCGTGGTGGCGCACGCCTGTAATCCCAGTACACGGGAGGCTAAGGCAGGAGGATTGTTTCAAGTTAGTGACCAGCCTGGGCTACAATGTGAGCTCAAGGCCAGCCTGAACTGCAGAGGCAGACCCTCAAAAAGACAAAAAAAAAATCTATCCAAAATTACAGTTTTTAACTGAGGTGCTGTGTATATAAAACTTATTTATATAGTTTTTTAATCAATAAACTTAAGAACCTCCCTTCAAATTCTGAATTAAAAACTCCAAGGACAGAGCTTGGGTATGCACAATTTGAAAATAAATGGTTCCATCTACCTTAATATACATGCTCAGCTGAGAAACAGGGATCCACAATAACACCTGCAGGGAGTGATTAACTACAAATTTAAATAAGACAGCAGAAAAGCTATCATGAAAAATCAACCTATACCTCACAGTAAAAAATATGATCTGAGTGATGTGTTCAATAAATTATAAATATTATATGATAAATTGGAAATCTGATAACAAATTCTCAAACCTTCTCTTGAAATAAGTGACTGATAATCTTTGTTTTGCTCTTTGATGTAATTATTATTGTTATTATTATTATACTAATAATTTTATGTTTGCCTTATATTCTATATAAGTATATTTTTATTTTAAAGATTAAAAAAATTAACAAAACATTAATGAAGACAAAATCAAAACAACACAAAAACAACAAAATGATACATGACCTCAAAACAAAATGAAAGGAATTAACAATGGCTGCTACAGTACATGCTATTATTGTCAATGAAGTTGCCCAGTCCACCAGACATAAGAATGTAAGATTGATCAAACAAAGACAGTATCAAGTAATAAAAATCACTGGAAATGATGCAGAACTTCACCATACAAGATGGTAGGAGTTCAACAATGGTCCTTATACTGCATATTGTTTTCAGATCAGTCACTCTGATTACCAAATTCAAGTGTGAAAAATGGGTCAAGAAGCAAGAAAATTTTAAGCATTGACTGTTCCTTTCAATAAACCACAGACATCAGCAATACACCTATCTCAGCTACTCTTGCATATGCATATAAATTTTGTTTTTCATTTTAAAGAGAGAAGAAAAAATAACAAAAACAAATACATAAGCAAAACAGCATAGAGAACAATAAAAATGATACAGAATTTCAAAACATGGTCATACAATATTAACAATAGTTCTTATAAACATAATGTTATCTTTAAAGTGGTCACACATATAACCAGATATAGGCATGCAACATTGCACAATTACACATTAACTGTTCCTTTCAGTAAACCAACAGATATTAGTAATAAAATTATCCTAGCTATCCTGTGTGTGTATATACATATTTTTCTCTTCTTTCTTTTTCCTCTCCCCTCCTTCACCCCAGTTGTTCCTTCCTATTTGAGCAGTTTCTTTTACCTTTCATAATATCTATTGTGCCTTTCAGATTTTATTGAATTATAAGAATATATTTCACATAGGAGATTAAGTAGTTGCTAGTACCTGTGTCTGTGTTCATGATGTGTGTTGAGATGTCATTATAATTACATTGCTGAATAAGCTTGCCTTTCCTTTGACATGCTGAATTTCCTGTTTTGTGGTTCAAAAGTGGATTTTTGATTCACTCTATGCTCTCTGCAGTCTGAGTGCACAATGTTTTGACGTTTACTTTGTTTTAATGCCAATGCTTGCAGAATTACAATTCTAGTATTGAGAATTTTATTTTGTTCTGAAAAATCCACTTCTAAATTATACTCTGTAATGAAAATGGACTCCCTTTCTATGAAGGCATGAAATATAGTAACAACGGAGATATTTTGGTGTTCATGTTTTGCCAGACTTCATAGTAAAAAGATTCAGCCTTACAACCTTGTGCAGGAAGCTCAGTTCATACCACTATTTTATTTTATGTCATTTTTATTTTAAAGACAGTAGTACATGAGAAAGAAACAAACAAAAAAGTAGAACAGTAGCAGCATACCAGTATCATGAACATAAACAAATCAAAGCAAAAACATTCAAAGCCATACTGGGTCTCAAGACAAATTAATACAAGTCAAAAGTGGTTGCTACATTGCATATCGCCATCCTCAACTATACTGCTCAGATTATCAGATGTAAGAATGAAAGATTGCTCAAACCATTAAAGAGAATAGGAAAATAACTCCTCAGTAAAACCTTAGAGATAATACAGAGTTTCACTAGACAAGATGGTAGGAGTTCACCATTGTAATTCCATTGCACTTCAAATCAGTTGCTCAGACCACCAGACACAAGCATGCACAGGTGATTAGAACATAAAAAATTGTGAGCATTAACTGTTCATTTCAATATACCATCAGACATTAGCAATACAGTTATCACAGCTATTCATATATATATTTATGCTTTGCTAGTCCTTCTTTTATCTTTGTTCCCTCATCCCAGTCATTCCTTCCTTTGAGCAATTCTTTCCCTTTCTGATCATCTATTGTACCTTTTGAGTTTTACCTAGTCTTTCAGGTTTCTACACCAAGGAGACAATATGATGTTTGCACATGTGGGTCCGATTTATTTCACTTA